ACTGCCTACCTGCCCAGGTCCACCTGTCCCCTGCACCTTTCTGGGACTCCAGGACACCCCTGCCTATGCCCATTGTTCATACCCCTCTGTGACTTATCCTTAATGTCCTACTGCGAAGCACTCTCTGTGGGACTCTGGCATTGCCACCCAGTCTGCCATTCAGACCTCCCAGCCTGTTCTGCCTTTCTGTCACCCCGTGACCCTCTGCAGCAGCTGCTGGACTTCTGGAAGCTGAGATGGGACTTCCTCCTGCAGTCCTCCCAGGACCCAGCCTCCACTTCTAGCACACTGAAGCCCTGATGAATGTACCCACCGAAACCAGCCCAGGACGCAGGGGCCAAGGTGCCACTGAGACCCACATGGCTCAGGGGGGCTGGGACCCACGCTAGGGCTCCAGTGGGGAGCCCAGTCTAGCCCCAGCCTCTTCCTCTGCTGTCCTGAGGGGTGAGTCCATCCCTCGCCTGGTCTAGCAGGGCCCCAGGCTGCGTGCTACAGTGGCATGGGGCTGAGGACTGCTGGTCTGTGGCTGACTCATGCAAGTGTACGCATGGTGCGTCCTGCGTGTGGGGACAGGGGTCAGTCCCCACCACAAGGCGAGAAAGGGATAAACATCAGTATTGATATGCAGCCAGCCAGTGGGACTATGAGCAGGCTTGGTGGCTGGCAGCTTCTTCTAGAGGGGGCTTCTAAGGTTCTTTCTGTCCCCATGAAAGAATTGGCCAAGATAAACACAAAAGGTAGTGAGGTTTTACATTTATTAAAGGTATGAAAAGAAAAAAAGCATGCTGTGCAGAGCAAGTCGGGGCCCACTAAACGCAGGAAAAGAGTGCCACCCACTCTGCAGGGTGAGAGTGGACCACTGCAGCCAGGAGCACTGTGTGCCGCCTTTCGTGCCTCACACTCCTCAGGGCGACACAGGTCTGGCTAGCACTGGCAGCTCTTGGCTCCGGTGGTAAGACTCAGCACTGACACTCGCATTGGCCCTAGCTTTGGACATGGCTTTCTGTTCGCTTCCTGGATCTCAGTTCCTGGCAGGTCATGGCCACCTCCGAATCCTCTGCCTCAGATGGGCTGCACAGATAGCCCTGGCTCAGCGGCCTGCCCAGTGAGCCACTGTCCTGACTCATGACTACGGCCTGAACTTCCCACCTGTCTTTGCTTTGCAGCGCACTTTGTTCACTCAGTGCTGTGAGTTCTGCTGACTGCACGGTGCACCACCATGCTGCCCTTCTGTGTTCTGTCATGCACCGCTCCACTGCACATGAGGGCTATGCAGAGAGCAGCAGACTCACAAAGCTTGAGTTTCCTTAGACCACATCCTTGCTCTGAATATTGTAACGTACATACTATGTACAACTCCACATTCAGTGACCCATTCAGCTAACAACCTGGTCACAAGAATGGTAGTTGGTCTGGAACTTGAATGGAGGAGCGTCCTTAGTGCTTGCTGCAAGACTTCACTCTCCCTACCCCGCCTCCCGGGGAGCATTTGGCTGCAGGCCCTACCGCCTGCATGCCTGCTAGTACTCCTTTCTCTATTTAATTTTTTTCGTACAGTAAGTTTGACTTATTATTGAGTTCTGTTCCACGTGAATGTCTGCAAGTCTGGTTCATGTGTGAGTCTTATACACTTTTGACACAAAAGTACAATGTAAAGCATGAAAACAAAACAAAACCAAAACAAAGAACAAACGAACAAAAAAAACCAAATGCGAAGTCTGTTTGTCTCTGTGTAAGTTCACAACTTGAATGTTCCTGAGTCGGGGAAATTCTAAAAATTGTTTTTTCTTTTGCTTTGAGGCATTTTGGTAATTGCCCAGGTTGGCTCAAGCTTAACCTTCCTGTCCTGACTCCTGGGCCACAGTGATTACAGGTACGGGCCCCACCTGCCCTCATGCGTCTGCCTGCTCCTCACCTGCCCAGCCGGCCTGTCCATCCACCCCTTGTTCAGCATCTACCGACCCACCCACCGTCTGGGCCCAGGGAGGCCAGCCCCATTCCCTCAGCCTCTGGTGTACATAGTCAGGGTGACTCCTAGGGCCTGGCAGAGGTGCCTCCTCTACCGAGTGGAGTCTCGTGCTGACCTCATGGTCGCAAGCCTGTGTGCAGGCAGGGTTGCCCTGGGGTGGGGCACCTTGTCCCTCCTGCCCAGCTGCAGGTGCTCCTGTTTGCAGGCAGAGGCCTGCACTCTTCTCCAGTCCTGGCCTTCATTGGTTCCCAAGGGCTCTCAGGGCTATAAATAGATGTTCTTGCACTAAAAATAGCCTTGCTAGAGTCAGAGATGCTGCCTGCTTTCAGTCTCTGAGGACCTGGCGACCCCTCCAGCTGCAGCCCCTTCCCTCCAGCCCTCTTCCTGTTAGGGGGCACACATAGTGCCACCTGTGTCCTGTGTATCTTGCCAGCCACCCAGGGGCACTGGTGGGCACCCCCCTCCACCTGCTTGGAAGCAGAAGGCTCCTGGGAGCTCACTGCTGGCTAGCCTGACTGTCTGACTGATGGCACAGCCTGTGCCGGGCACACACATGCAGTGGCAGGGCCACCAGGTAGAAGTGGATGCCACCCAGAGAAGTGACACCTGGAAGTCTGTCCTGTGGAAGGGCTCACGGCTGTGCGCACACATGGAGTGCGAGGCCTTGCCACAGGCCCGGCTCGCGTTCTGTATCTGGCTCACCCACAGCCCCTGGAGCAGTGTGGTCCCCCAGATGACTCTGTGAGCATTTTTCTTTTTTCTCTTTTTGAGATAGGGTCTTGCTGTCCGGTCTGGCTTTGAACTCATTTTGTCACCCAGGCTGGCCTCAAACTTGATCCTGCCCCAGCCTCCTGAGTGCTGGGACAGCAGGTATGTGCCACCACATCTGGCCGCTTGTGCTGCACACATGTAAGTACAACTTACAAGCCCCCGCTCCTGGTGGAGCAGCTTAGGTGGGGCTCTGACACTGCTGGATCTGGAGGCATGCAGCTGGAGAGCTGAGCCTCTAGCCATCAGTTTTGAGCCATTTCTGCAGCCACAGCAAGGTGGCGCTTCACATATAAGGTAGGGGCTCCATACCCTCCCCACACCTGGCCCACAGGGACAAGTGCAGACTGTCACCTGTCCCTGGCCCATGCATCCCCAGACTCCTGGCCTCAGGGTGACTTTAGACTCCCCTTCCCCTGACCCCATCCTTGCTCACCCAGCCCAAAGAAAGGTAGTGGAGGCATGGGGAAAACATGTCCTGGGATTTATTACAACACATGGTTTCCAAATACAAAAGGAGGGAACAGGAAAGTGCGGCCCACATGGGCAGGGTTCCTGGGGGCAGCCAGGTCCTCTGGGCCACAAGGACAGGGGTCTTGGGGAGGTGTGGCACCCTCTCTACTGGACTTTCAAGGGTGTCCCTATGTCACCCCAGTCCTGGAAGTAGGAGGGGGCCAGGTCCATTCTGGGCAACCCTGATGCCAGGCAGAGCCGGAGACTTGAGGGCCCTTGTACCCACCTCCCTCAGCACATGGGACCCTTCTCCCCATTGAGGCTGCTAGCTTCAGGGTAACAGTGTCAGGGAGAGTGGGGACAGAAACAGATTGAGGCTTCAGGGCCCTATGCGCCCCTGCCAGAGGCGGGCAGGGGCTGGGGACCCGCCCCAGAGACCCAGGGGCCCAACCAGTGGCCCCAGACCAACATCTCCTGGACAGCAGAGGGGCAGGCAACGGGGGCGGTACATCCTCCACACCCAGGGTCACCTCAGAAACCCAAAGCAACAGACAGGAGGCAAATTTACATAATTAATAATAATAATAATTAACCAATAATAATAAATACTTAAACCTCTAATCCATAGATTGCAAATACAACAATAGCTTATTTTTGGGGGGATAGGGCATAAGGGGACAGAGGGAGCAGGAACAGGACTTTGCTCAAAGGAGGGATGACAGGAACACAGGGCAGGGTCAAAAGAAGAACAGAAAGACACAGTGGCAGGCTGGGGGGGTGGGTGGTGGGAGAAGGTGTCACTGGGCCTGTCTAGGATCTAGCCCTCCTGGGCAATCCTGCAAAGCCTTTGGGCTCTTCCTGAGGTGCTGGGCAACCCTCAGACTCCAGAGTATCTGAGAGGCTGTTCTCAAGAGCCTGTGGGGCGCAGTGGCTGGGGCTCTCTCCTACCCGTACCCCCACACTGACCCACCTGGGCCATAAAGCCTCTGGAGGGTGGGGGTGGGCACAAGGGAGAGTGCCTGAGAAAGGAAAGGGGTGCACAGAGTTCTCCCGAGAGGCCCTGGGAGGCCAGGCAGATGAGGGGCTCTTTTCTAGTGCCTGCTCCTGTCAGGGGTGGCTCTCCCAAAGCGAAGGACCCCAATCCTGGAAGGAGCTTGGCAAGTGCAAGGCAGGACTTGGGGGTGGGGCTTGGCAGACCAGAAGTCACTCCCTGGGACCTGGCCAAGGCTTCTTTCCTGTAGGCTTCCCTGGGGACACCCTTAGGAGAAGAGGGGAGTGGCCACCTCCACATGGCCCCTCTGGACCTGGTACAGTGGCAGGGGGCTTCACCCATCCTTGCCCTGAGGATCCAGGTCCTCTAACTCAGGGGCCAGTGCTGATCAACACCCACCAAGGGACAATTCTGGGTGATGGGCAGCAAGGGTGTCCCTATGTCACCAAGAGCTGGCCCCAAGCTGGCAGGTTCCGGTGGCCACCCTCCCCCAACTATGGCTTTGGTGCAGAGCCCAGGGGGAAGAGGCCACTGGCTGCAGAGGTTAGGGAGACAGGCAGGTGGGGAGGGAGGGAAAGAGGGAGGGGGAGGGAGAGAGGGAGAAGGGGAGGAAGGGAGACAGGCAGGTGGGGAGGGAAGGAGAG